GACATTGCCAAGCCTTAAATTGTTGGAAACTGGGAAAGTATTCTGGGAATACCACTGCATACCCACTGTACTCTTCCCTGAGCACTCCCTGCAAGCTGCTTTGAGGGACAGGACATGGGATAGATGGAGCTGGCATTTGACCCAGTGAAGAAGATCTTTATGAACAGCAGTTCACACCAGCTGAAGACACAGCACTGTGTCTCACATGCATGGCTGTACAGGCACACGAGGAGCCCGATACTCTTACAGGTGTAACAGCAGAGTAACCTCTGCAGAGCATTTGGTGCTCACTAGCAACCAGCTCTTATAGTCAGTAAACTACAACTGTTGCTGCTGCTACAAGCTGCTAGCTAATACACACTTATCTCTGTTGTTCATCAGTAGCTCAGAAGCTACTAGGACATGATATTCATGCAGATAGATGTTCAAAGAAAAGTTTTCATTACAGTATAAGGCAATGAAACAGAAGCCGACTGACGCTGCCAATGACAAGCTAGTTATTTGTCTTGGCTTTCTTTTGATTATCAAACTGAAAGTCTATATTGCCAGATTAGACAAAAACTGCTTTCCCTTTTTCCTCTAACTTTTGTCAGAAGTCTGATGCAAATCTCCTACAGAAGAAATATGACCGAGTAATATTAGCATCGTCCATTCTGCTTCATTTACAAATGCTATCACAAATACCTATTTACACCAAGATTGAAACATGCACACGTTACATTAAACATTACCTCAATTATTGCTTAGTGTCAGAACAGCTTAAATTGTATTGAACTGCAACAGCAAACTCTTATATTAATCGTTGAAGAACAGCTCACATATAGATAAAAGTATTTGAAGTCATCACCTGGCTCAGTCTAAACACAGCTAGGCAAAAGGACATTACAATGAAATGGGTTTACTAGATAGACTTCAGTGTTTATATAAGGATTCTTCTATTACATAGCAATTTTTTTTACTTCCAAGGAGTTCCTTGCTTTGGAAATATTTTGGACATCATGGACAAAAGCTTATTATCTGAGATATTTTACAGGAAATAGCATTAAAGAAAAAAGCCAACGTTTCAGAATACGTGATTGTAGACTTTATTTTGAAAATGCTTCATGAAAAACAGTTGGTCATTGGAAATATTTTAAAAGTAATTTAATCACAGACTGCCAAGACTGCACTCCTCACCTTCTTTGCATCAACCAAGCTCCAGTTCTTCAAAGATCACCCAATACCAGCACAAATGACTGTTTTAGACATCTTCTCTGGCTGTCCCTTAAGAGTCACTGAGAATGAATTGAGACAATAGTAAAATGATGCATTTAGCTGCCTGAATCCTTTTGTGAGTGAAGAGGGGGCTGATCAATTCCTACTTACCTCAGCACACTTCTGGTTTCAGAATTGACTTTGGGGGTTTCATCACTGCCTACCATAGAACGTTAATGCTTTCATTAATGCTAAATGTAAGGACTTGGAAGAGCCATTCGGAGAGATGCAAACAAGAAGGAACAGATTACTATCAACCACTGCTGACAGGAAGCCATTGGTACTGGAGATGCTGAGGCTGAACTTATCAGATAGCCAGCATTTGAGAGAACCTTTCATTAAACAGTGAAAGCAGACAAGACCCATTTGCTGTGGAGCAGCACCTCCGAGTGTGACTCACGCTATTGAACAATCCTGACTTGAACCTGTTGAGGATCTTGGCCCAGCGTTTCCTTTTCAGTATTAATCCGAGCCAGAAATGTGTCAATAAACCTCTCCGCTGCTGCCTGGCAGCTGGATAAGCAGCAGTGCGAGCCCTCCGAGCGCTCG